GCTAGACACAAAGTCTTGTTTACTCTCTCCAGTGGAGCAAGAGAAAATTCTCTCTCATCGTTTTCAGATGAACCCCTAGAAAAATAAGACATAATTGAAATCATTTTACCTTACAAAAGACACAGCAGACCTGAGCTATTCAGGCCACTGAGTGCATCTTAGATGCACAGATTCTGGGTACCCCAGAACTTCCCAGTCGAGGGTCTCATTTGTCACTCCCCTGTGAGATGATATGTTGGAGTCCATTTCCATGGAACAATGGAAAATTGGTAAGTGGAACAACCAAGCCATCCTGAAGAGAGCTGGCATCTGTTGGGTTGAGTCTATTTGAGGCGCCCTTCGCCCTTGGCATTGATCTTGGGTACAGCCAGCACCATCAGTTTCTTTTCCCTTTTTCCTTTTTTTTTTAAGATTTTATTTTATTGTTTTTAAAAGATTTTATTTATTTATTTGACAGAGAGAGACACAGTGAGAGAGTGAACACAAGCAGGGGGAGTGGGAGAGGGAGAAGCAGGCTCCCACAGAGCAGGGAGCCCGGCACGGGGCTCGATCCCAGGACCCTGGGATCATACCCGAGCCGAAGGCAGACGCTTAACCAACTGAGCCACCCAGGCACCCCTTTAAGATTTTATTTTTAAGTAATCTCTACACCCAACGTCGTGCGGCTCAAACTCACAGCCCCGAGGTCAAAAGTCGCACACACTCCACCGACTGAGCCAGCCCGGCGCCCCAGCATGATCGGTTTTGTACTGTTCATTTGATGCAGGCAAGATAACATCAAGCAGAAAGCACGTACTGAAGCTAATTTCCTCGGGAGGGGGTCACAGTATGGCGGATGCTCTGAGTTTCATAGACTCCTCTCTAGATACTTTATCTGTTTAAACCCTGATGAGTCATTGGCTAGCTAAGTTAGAGCACAGAGTATGGAGAGACAACGAGGCCCTTGAAAGCCATGCCAACAAACTTGGACATGATCTTGTGTATGCAAAAGGGGGAATCACCTGAGGTGATTCTTAAGAGAGACATGCTCATGTTTCTCGAGGTTAATTTGGAATTCCCCAGGATGTAGAACCTTCTCTAGAGGCAGGGTAGTGAAGGAAGAAAGAGCTGTAGAGGTTGTAAATTGTTCACATGGGAACTGATGGGGATTTGAACAAATGGAATGGAATTGAGAGACCCAATTGGGCCCTGAGAGAACTGACAGTCTGAGAGATGATGAAGGCCCATGACTAACGAAGTGTGTGTGTGTGTGTGTGTGTAAGGAAAATCCTGCCTCAGGATTTCCTCTCATGGCCCAGCCTGAGATCTCTGCAACCCAGTTCTTCAGGGGAGTCACCTGTTCTCTCCAACATGGAGTCCCTGACACTCTAGAATCCTTGGGGCTTACTTGTGCTTTTGTAGCTTCCTCAGCCTTAGCCCTCAAACAGCAGGGGAAAAAATATTCTTTTGTTCTTTTAAACTGAAAACCGGAATCTGATAAATATGTAAATGAGTTGCTTGCCTACTGAAGCATACAGCTAAACTACGATCCAAGCAGTGGGGACGTTGAGATCATTTCCTGAATTCCTTCTGTCCCAGGTGTTAAGACTGATACCCTTGAAGTTTCTATAAACTTAAGCCCTAATTTAAGAATTTAAATTTTGAAGACGGTCTAAAGGAAAACCTTCACTCTAGAAAGGGCCAATTTGACTATTAATTCTGGGTTAGATGTTCTGTGGTGAACAAACTGGTCCAACCTGTATGGTTAATTACTAGAACTAACAAATTTTTTTCAGTCTAGAAGAATGTACAGCTCTAAATTGTTACCAGTGGTTATTTTTGAGATTTAGGAGTGTGTGTGTGTGGGGGGGTGGATATTAAAAGAGAGTGTTTATCCTTTTACTTTACATGCTCCTGTAGTGTTTGAATTTTTAAACATGTATTCTTTTTTGTAATTTCAGAACAACCAAAAGAATTTGATTAGATGTAAATTTTAATGGCTGTGCAGAGGATCAAAGGAGTCAGTCTGAATTATCTGATTTTAAGTGAATTTGAAAAAGACTATCTGAAATTATCTAAGTACCAGGAGGCAACTTGTCACGTTGCAGCTGCCTAGCAGCAGATTAAAATGTGTCTGCAAAAGCATCCCACAGGCCATGACCCTGGAAGTGGCCTTGCAAGCTGAGCAGGATTTCCTCACAACACAGGGAGAATCTGAAGGGCCTTCCCACTTTCCCATAAACAAATACAAGTTCCTCTATTCTGTTGTGTTTTTAATTATTTTTATTTTCTAAAATTATGTAAGTTATACATCCTCACTGTAAAAACAAAATTCAGACAATACAGACATATGAAAACCTTATTCCTTCAGAAGTAACCACTGTTTGGAGTTTGGTTGTGTGTCCTTTCAGATTTTACACACACACAATTTCAACTCCTAGTTTTCTTTCTTTTCTTTTTTTAAGTAGGTTCCACACCCAGTGTGGAGCCCAGCATGGGGCTTGAATTCACAACCTGGAGATCAAGACCTGAGCCAAGACCAGGAGTCTGATGCCTAAGGGACTGAGCCACCGAGGCACCCCTTCCTTTTTTATTTTTTTAAGATAGAGTTCACATACCATAAACTTGGCCATTTTAAAGATTTTATTTATTTATTTATTTATTTATTTATTTATTTAATTTATT